AGAACGAGAGAGAGAGAGAGAGGAGTCGATGCAGCAAAATCAAGCGGGGGAAAAAAATCTCCGTGTGTGGACGGCTTCACTGCCCCCTTTACGTACCCCTTTTTTTTTCTCTTTTCTTTTCTTTTCTTTGTCATGCGTCTGCGTGGCAATGCACCCACCGTTTCAATAGGAAAGACTGCGGGCGGGGCTGCAGACAGGGACCTAGCGAAACCCATGTTTCGGCTCACGGCTGCGTTGCTCGCAAAGAAGAAGCCGGTAAAGCCACTGCCAAGGCGTGGGCGAGCGGCGGCGATAACTACAGCGCGACGTACAACGAAGTCACCCGCAAAGCGACGTTTGCCGTCGCGTCCGCGGACGCGAACTCCTGCGGCACGCTCAAGGATGACGGCGGCAGCCGTTGCCCCCAGCACCAGCGCCGGCAACCACCAACACCACGATAGCCGAGGCGGCGGTGGCGGCGGCGGCAACGTCGGTAACAGCAACAATACTGACAGCACTGACAATAGCCATGGTGATCCTGACAGCAACGTGGTGGTTCAGGCAACGAAGGAAACACAGACGGAGGCCAGTGAGAAGAAGTCGCCCTATTGCCTCGCGACTGCGGTCTCAACACTTGTTGTCCCCCCCGCCGCCAACTTTCTGCTTGAAGGCATGAAGCAAACGCTGACGCCGTCGCTGCAGAAGCCCAACGATGGCGGCGTGGGCAGCAGTTCTTCTGAGGAAAACCGTTCTCCTGTATCGCAGATGGAGGAGTTTTACACCTCCAAGAAGGGCCCTTTGTTTGCCACCGCCGTAGTTGCTGGAACGAACGCCGTGAAGCAGGCAAGTCAGCTGATTCCATTTTGTCACCCTGTGCGTATTCAGAAGTGCTCCTTCACCTTTAGGCGACGCCTCGTTGCGGGTCTCAGTCACACCTCTGCACTCCCGCATCGGGTGGTGCTGCGTAAACGCGTGAGCCCTCCGCCGCCCCCTAGTTGCGCCCGCAGGGACTGCAGCGTTCTGTACTGTTTCTGCACCGTGGCGAGCGACGACTCCAAGGCAGGGGTGGAGATGGAGGCGCTGACAGGTGCCAGCGTCGCCAGTCTGACGCTGTACGACATGCTTAGGGGTCTGCCGGGGTCGCAGGAGGACGGGCTGAGCATTGGCGAGTCCTTTGTGCTCGCGAAGCGCGGCGGAAAGAGTGACTTTACGAAGCTGTTGATGTCGGAGCCGGAGGCCGCGACTCAGCCGTCGCCGTTCACCCTGCCTACACTGGCGCCCTCCGCAACTGCAGACACGGAGCAAGAGGCGACGGCGGGGACAGGGGGGATGGCCACTGAGGGAGACACAGCACCACCCTCGTCTTCGCCAGCCTCACAGGCGGAGACGCAGCGCGAGAGGGAGGAGGGCGGTGATGACAAAGACAATAAAGAGGTTCACTCACCCAGCAGTGGCAGCGGTGCCGCCGCCCACGCACAGCCACATCCGCAGGCGGAGAGAAGCCGCACGCTGGGGGACGCGGACGCCCATGAAGTGACGACAGACGCCTTGGGAGAGAAGGGCGCCTGGTGGGAGTCCACTGCGCGCGATAAGAAACTCCAGCAGCTGCGCCCTCGCAGAAGGTACGAAGTACAAGAGAAGGCGCCTCTCAAGGAGGAGTTGCCACCAACAGAGAGAGCGAAGGTAGCACCAGCATCGGCTGCGGTGACCACCACGCCACGAAGGATGCAGCAGGCAAAAGTGCATCCAACGAAGTTGATTAAAAACAAAATGAGGGCGCGGCTCAAGCTGAGCTCGAAGGTGGCAAAACTTCGTCCGAAGCGCTTTGCCGCCCCAGCGGTGAGGCGTCGCATGGAGAGCAGCGCGCATGACGACGAGGATGATTCACCTCTAGGTGGAGAGGAGTATGATGAAAGTACCGATGATGCGGCGGCGGCGGAGGCTAAAAAGAAGGGGAAGCGTGAGGCAGCCGCTACTGCAAACGCTAAACATGTTTCGTTGAGGAAGACTGCCTCCCACGATGCCATCACCGATGACTTTGATGGTGGTGATGGTGGGGGAGGAGGAGGAGGGCACAGTGGACAGGTTTGAAAGCGAGGAAGAGGAGGATGAAAGGGCGCCTGCAGCACGACACGAGAAGAGGCAGCCGCGGCGTAGTGGCCGGGAGGCTGCCCAAATGCATGACAGTGCCGTCGATGACGACGGCGAAGATGATAATGAATGGGGTCATCACGAAGACCAAGCCGCGGATGCGGCGCAAAGAGATGATGATGAATATGATGAGGGTGATGAGGCGCCTTCCCTCCGACGGCCGCGGACTGTGAAAAAGAAAGGCAAGACGCCGCCCCCGCTTCCCCTGCGCCACACGAGGGGCAGCGAGGTGACCAGGCCGGTGAAGCACGACACCTGGGACAACGAGACTGAGGTGGAGAGCGACTTTGATCAGGACGACGAGGAGGCGCAGGAATTTTTTGAGGTGGAGGAAGAGAGGGAACCTCCACCGCCACATAGAAAAAAGAGGACCGGCAAACCTGTCCGGGCACAGCGGCAAAGGACGCGACGATGACGTGCGGCGCAAACGCACACAACGAATGGCGGTCGTCCCCCTGCCTCTCAGCAAAGCAGTTTTTTTCTTTTTTCTTTGCGGGGTGGGGGTGGGGGCGACACCATAGAGAGTTTGGAGGCCTTCACATTTACTCCGTCCCTCTCCCCCTCGTGGGCGGCGGACGATTGGGGTGAACATGAGGACCAAAAAGAAGAGGCGAAACACGACAGCTGAACGCAGGGGAACAAAAAAAAAAGAGGGCCTACGTGGTAGGCGTTTGGCCTTCGCCACTATAATTTTGTTTTGTGATTATTTGCGTTCCTCCTACGGGTCCTTCCTGCCAGTCTGCTCTCTCTCTCTCTCCTGCTTATCCCTACTGGTCTTGGAAGGGCGGAGGCGTAGGGCTCCCTCCCCTTTAGCCGATAACACACAAAACAAAAACGCTACACTTGGATTTTGTTGTTGTTTTTTCGTTTGGTGTCGGAGGTCACGCCGAGGGATGCGTCAAGGCGGACGTGTCTGCGCCGTTGCCGTGCCGTCGCTGTTGCTGCCACTTTGTGTGTTTGTTTCTCGTCATTTTTTCTCCACGAGTAGAGGATCTCAAATGACACACTGCGCCTCTCGCGCGGAGGCGGACGGCTCAAAAGACGTTGGCGACACCGCGTGGCGAAAGCGACTGACACCAGTACAATTTCACATTCTACGAGAGAAGGGCACTGACCCGCGTTATGGGCCGTACGACAGTTACTCTGCACCTGGCGATTATTTGTGTGCCGCATGTGGCACGCGGCTGTACACGTCGGAGATGAAATTTCTTTGCAGCTGCGGCTGGCCAGCGTTTTGGGACTGCGTGCCGGGTGCGGTACGAGAGGAGCCTGACAGTGACGGGATTCGCACGGAGATTTTGTGCAACGCATGTAACAGTCACTTGGGCCACGTCTTCCGCGGTGAGGGGTTCCACAACCCACCGCCGAATGAGCGACACTGCGTAAACAACACCTCCCTCCAATTTCAGCCGCGACAGTGATTGAGGGAGGTTGTTGTTGTTTTGTTTTTCTTCTTGTTCTTTAGGCATAGGTATACATATACATATATATATTTGCTGCCGTCAGTCTTTGTGTGTTTGGTGTTGTTTTATCCGTCTTCGTTTCCTTCTCCACTTCTTTCGCCATCTTGCTGCTCTTTTTTTTTTTTGTTGTGTGTGTGTGTATCTTTCGCGGTGGCGGTGGGGGACGCCTGCGCGCGTGGGTGAATTGCAGGGACACCAGCGGCGTTTTGTGCCGGGAACACGCGTAAGGAACCAAACAAACGCAGGGAGCGTGGTGATCCAAAAAAAAAAAAGTGTGTGCGTGTGTGTGGAAGTGGGACGGAGGAGGGAGGAGGCGGAAGAGTTACTTTGCGGCGGCCTTTCTGTGAGTGTGCGTGTGCTTGTGTGTGCTTGTGTGTGCGTGCGTCGCTGTCGCACCATGGCCGACCTGAATGATATGATAGAGACGCTGTACGCCGGCAAGCTCATCACAGAACAGCAGGTGGCACAGTTGTGCGACCGCTGCAAGGATCTCTTCCTCGAGGAGGGAAACATTGAGGTTGTGTACGCCCCCGTCACCCTCTGTGGCGACATTCACGGTCAACTTTTTGACATGCTGGAGCTCTTTCGTCACGGCGGTCGTGTACCGGACACTAGCTACGTGTTCATGGGAGACTTTGTTGACCGCGGGTACCACAGCGTCGAGACACTGCTGCTGCTGCTTCTGCTGAAAGTCCGCTACCCTGACCGCATGACCCTCTTACGCGGCAATCATGAGTCGCGGCAGATTACGCAGGTCTACGGCTTTTACGACGAGTGCTACAGAAAGTACGGTAGTGCTAACGTCTGGCGGTTTTGCACCGACCTGTTTGACTACATGCCGTTAATGGCACTGGTAGAGGACGACGTTTTGTGCGTGCACGGCGGCCTTAGCCCAGACATCAACACCCTCGATGAAATTCGCGTCTTGGATCGTAAGCAAGAGGTTCCACACGAGGGCCCAATGACGGATCTTTTGTGGTCTGACCCCGATGACATCAACGGTTGGGCCATGAGTCCTCGTGGTGCCGGATTTATCTTTGGCGCCGATGTCACAAAGGCATTTAACCAGAGAAACGGCATCAGCCTCATTGCACGCGCCCATCAACTCGTTTTTGAGGGCTACAAATGGATGTTCGATGACAATTGCTGCACCGTGTGGTCCGCCCCAAACTACTGCTATCGCTGCGGCAACGTGGCGTCTATCATGAAAATAGGCGAGAAGTCACGAACGGACCGCAACTTTATAACATTTGGGGCAGCCCCTGCTGAGGAGCGCGGCCACTTGACCAAAAAGCCTCCGCCAGAATACTTCCTGTGAGAAGGGGGGATGGGCATCATGAGCCGGTCTCTGCAGTAACTGGGGCAGTTGCGCATGTGTGTGTGTCGTAGAGGAGGAGGGTACGGGCAAAGGGAGACGCATGTTCCTTGCAGGGGAAGCTTCTTCCACCGTCTCTGGAGACACCTCCGACCCTCACAGATAGATGCTCTCCTTTTTGGTGGTGCCGTGTGTGTGTGTGTGTTCGTCTTTAAATGCGTGTCATTTGCCATCATTTTATCCTTCTTGTGTGTTTGTGTGTGCCGTAGAACGTGCATGCCCCGCATTTTGGATACCTTCCTCTTCCTGCTTTTAGCTGCCACTTCATATGCCATCTTTTTCTTTTTTTGTGTGTCTTGTGTGTGTGTATGTTCTAGCAGTGCAGTTTGGAGGTGAAGACAAACAAAAGTGCGTCACAGTCAAATAGAAGTCAAGCGAATTTATTATTAATATTTTTTACATGCACCATGACTTTTTTTTTCTTTATTCCTCCCATTTGGCGGAATGAATGGCGAAGGAGACGGATCACCGTATCATGTGGGTGCTGCTGTTCATCAATGGTACAATAAGCGTCCTCTTCCTGCTTGTCGCGGCGTACGCGAATCACGGCCGGCTCACGCGGAGTGATAGACGTCGAGCGGCTGTAGTGGAGGAGGACCGCCTCAGCGCTGGCGAGCGAACAGAGACTCACAGGGGATACGCAAACATAGCGTCGTACTCAAACAACACTCCTACAAACGACCCCGACAACCCCGCTGCGTTGTTGTACACGAAGAGAGGCCACCTGACCGTGAGCAACTTGGCCAGGTCTTTGGATAGCGATGACCTCCCACTGCTGGATTTCTCTCAAAAACAGAGGTCCGCCGTCTCTCAGTTGCGGGTCTCAAGTTTGCCTCTCTCGCCAGCGTCTCTGTCGGGCGCAGGGAGTCATGCATAGTGGGCAAACCCACCGCTGACTGCGGAGGAGGTTGGACGGGCGGGCTGGTCAATCTTTTGCGACCCCAAGTCTGTGTTTTTCATGCTTGCTGTGTGCTGCTCATTGGCGCAGGCTGTTACGATCCTGGCGTTAACTGTGCTGGATACAAGTCACCTGATCGCCACGGGGTATCAACGGGATCAAGACTTGGTGGTGTCCGTGCAGGCCTTTCTATTCCTGCTCTACTTCACGGTACTCTGCATTTTTATTCTACGGGCTTGGTGATACGTTCGAGCGCTTGTTATCTAGGCAGATTTGTCTGCTTTTGTGGGGCTCCGTCGCCACTCTGTTTTTTTTTTTCTTGTTGTTAAGGGGGGTATTGGCGGCATGTTTTCTTGTTAACGTCGTGGCATCACGACGCGTTGTGAGTCACGGTGAGGCTGTGGCTCTGGTGGCCTCCAAAATAAGTCGTGTGACCGCCACAACCGCGGTGTCGTTGACCATGCGCCTGGTGGTTCTGCTTCCGGCGGCGCAAAGCAGTTTTGTGCTGCTTGGGATCTTTGCGCTGTCTTTTTTTTCATCTTCCGTATTATACCCGCTGCTGCCTCCTTCCAGCTTCTTCACTCCCCTGCGTGGTGTGGCGCCACCGTGAGGGAGCGGCCACCGCCACACCCAGCATGGGCGGGACACCTCGGTTCATACCGACTACTACCTTTCACTTCTGCTACGTCGGTGCGGGTGACTGCCTTTTTCGGTCACGGTCTCTCTCTGTGATATATATATATATATGGTGTTGCCGTTGCCCCCCCCCCCCCTTCCTTTTTTGCTGTGCCACACGCACGCATCCGTCGGTGTTGATGTCACCTGTACGGCACGCATCTGCACTCATTCTTTCCGTCACCGCCTGTGCTGCGTGCACCTTCCCCCATTTCTTGTTGTCAGGCTTCACAGATACACATACTTATTATTATTATTATTATATATAATCAATAATAATAATAATACATATATAACTAAATAAT